GGGAGCTATGCGTACCTGAACTCTGGTAACCGTGGACACCGGTTTCATTTCATTTGTAGTGGAGAGAGAAACTGCTGGCCCTAGGGCTGCTGTCAAAGCAGCGGAGGAAGAAGAGTGGAGCCAGACAAAGAGGCAGGACTGCAGACACAAATAACCTGTCAGAGAAAAAAGAAAACTGGGAAGATAACAAGTGTAAAATATCTTTAGCTTGGCAGTAATAGTGTCATTTTTCTCTTTGAAAGCACAAACAAAACGCTACATTGAGTTAGACTCTATAACCTCAGGTCTTTAGGGGTTTGTGATTCTTATCGCGGCAGAAAAGGCTTACATACGCATGTGAGTGTGTGTGTGTGTGTGTGCGCGGCTTCTCACCACTCTGTATATTTATTCATTGTGTTTTTCCAGTTCTTTCTTTCAAAGTATTTATTCTGTGTGTCAAAGTGCATGACAGCACAGTCAAAAGTACAGCCAACCACATCACGTGACTCATGCAGTGAGTTTTCCCTCCCCTCTCATTCTAAACATTTAAAAAGCCTGGCTCTGTGCATCTTTGGATGCTATAGAGAGGTGCTGAAGGCAACAGCACACTCCACTGTTGGCATATTCACATCAAGCTATGCTAAGCTGCACACGAATGGACACTAATTAGCAAATCTCAGCCAAAGCAACTGCTAACGCAGAGGAGTGTGTGTGTGTGTGCGTTGTGTGGGGCTGTAGTATTGCATATGGAATGCTATCACCTTGTGTCTTCAATGCAAGGTCATAATTTGAGCTATAATTTGAAACACAAAGTTTAAAGTCACTGCAGAGCCAGGTTGATTGTATTAAATAAGAATCCTGTAAACTGTTAGCAGTTAAAAATTTGTCTTGATGGTGGCAGTGTCGTGTGAGTCTTACAGTGGCTAAAATGAAACTCTATGATAAAGACATTTTTCAGCTTGACCTGCCACAATAACAGGATGGCACTTGTGACTACTATACTGCTTTTCCTTGGTGGGGGAGTTGTCACTGATGAGTTAATGCAGGCTGTTGGTGGGATATTTCATTGGACTACAATGAAAACACATTAGAAATTATTATTATTATTAGGAAACACTATGTGCATAAGAAGAAAGTACAATTTTAAACTGACCAAAATGTATTGTGTTTGTATTATGTGTGAAGTGCATTAAAAGATTAATAATGGCTTACTTGACTAGAAACAGTAAGAGTATTTTCACTTAGTGGCACACTCACTGCAAATGATTATCTCTCTCAGTTCCCGGTTTGGTTTTTTATAGTCTGAAGTCTACTGTCGGTATCACACTGAGCACTTTTTCACAGACTTAATTTCTCAAAGCAGCAGGCAACTTTTTTCTGCTTCAAACGGCCACGGTACAGTACACTACCTGCTCAGCACAGCAGACAGGCTGAAGAATTAGGAAGGAAAAAGAGCCACATACTTTCTTCAGTAGCGGAAGAAGACCAAGGTGGAACTAAATTAAAAATCACTGTTGAACTTGAATAAAGTTCATTTATATGGTACTATAAAGGTATCATATTAGATTTAATAGTTAAGTATTATAATCAAATTCAGTCATTAGCTGAAAAACTGACTTTGTGCAGTTTAGCTTCATAAATTGTATACAGGAGTGGGGATGGGAACTGGGAACGTCACTTATTAATTTGATTCTCAATGGATTGTCACTGGCTCCACTTGAGAGTCACCACCATCACTAAGCAGCACATCAATGACAACACGGCATGTAATAAATCTGCATGAATGTTGCATGAATGTAATGTCTAATGTTGGGAGTATTTCACCTATTTGTTGTGGTCAGTGTTGGGGTTGTTACTCAAAAAACGAATGTATTACACAGAACACTTTCCTAAAAAATTATGTCGTACTTTACTGAAACCTGAAACACACTGTCTCATAATTACCATTTGACAATATAAACCGATAGGCTACAGTTACACACACCATTACAAATCCTTATCCTAATGAGGACACGTGTGATCTTTCTCTTTAGTATTTAGGGTAAGAACACAAAGCCGACAGCACAAATCAAAGATGAAAATGAGCACAAAGAGACTTTAAAGTAAAGTGATTTTACTTGAGAAAAATGTACAGTTAGAAACAGTGGTTGCTTTGGTTACCTGTTTAAGTTCAGGGTCTGGTTGCTGCTGGGGTCAGCAGACACTCAGTTTTATCATCACTCTTTGTAGGTGCTTGCAAAGTGTTGTTGTAGCAGCAGAATGCAGTTGTCTTCTGGATGCACTCTCGTCTTTTGACCAAAAAAAAGTTTTGTTTGTTAGCAGGTTAACGGCCACAGTTGTGAAGGTATGTTCACATTTTATGTGATGTAGATACCAGTGATAGGTTGAACTAAGATGAAAATTCGGCCAAGGTCCCACCAAATTTGAAAATCAATAAAAACTTTATCCATCCATTCATTTGCTTCTGCTTATCCTTTTTCACGGTCGCGCGGGGTTGGAGTCCTCCCAGCTGTCTTAGAGCGAGTGGCCGGGTACACCCTGGACAGGCCGCCAGTCTGTCGCAGGGCAAACATATAGACACAGACAACCATTTGCACTCACAACCATTTAGAGTTTCCAATTAACATATCCCCACCAACTGCATGTCTTTGGACTGTGAGGATAGGTTAAAAACTATATATTACCCATAATATTTTATTGATCGTCTTCAAACTTAAAAATAGACTAGGCCTCGAGGGACATACCTAGGTACCTAGGTTGGCTAAACATTTGACCTTGACCTTCATTGGTACTGCCCTAAGGTCAAAGTTGACCTTGAAAAGAATTTCAAGAAACCATATTGAGTAACGTATTAAAGTGCTGTGCAATCTGTCACCCGACAACATCACAATGATGCCATAAAGAGTCGCAAAATCACAGACTACATGAATATATCTTAAAATCTCAAGTTTTTACAGCTTATAGACGCCAAAGATTTCAACCAGTTCTGTGTAAGTTAAAAATAATATAATGCACCATCTTGGTATGTCATACATCTGTATTGTGTATTTAAAAACATCATAGAACATCGGAGTTGAATGAATTTGAACATTTCAGATAAGCTATTTCTGTATTACTTGAGAATTTGTATTAATAGTTAAAATATTATGATTGTGAATTTCTTAATATTTTTTTATATTTTTAAGCTATCTAACAATTGACCAACCAGTTAAAGATTAAAGTGTTTGTGGGACTGCAAATAGCAGTAGCATCTGATTGGTTAGATAAACATTTCAGATAATAAATGGATGGATAAAGGATTAATATGATGCGTGGCTAATGACCAAATACAATATAGCTTTAAGGAGTTTATCTGCATTATTGACTTGGAGTAACTATTTAAACCTCTTTACAACAAAGGTTAAGGTGAGTTTTCAGTCAGAGCAGTCCTGCTCGAAAGTGTCTGAGGCAGGCGAGCTGCAGATTTGCTGTGAAATCCAATCCATTAGCGTGAAATATAAAAAGGCATTAAGAGGTCAGTAAACGCTGCCAGTCTGCTCAGTAATGATCTCATTTATTTAAAGTAATTCAGCAGAGTCTCACCCTAATGATTCAGTGACATTCAGTTTCTCCATGTAGCACATTTGATCAATTCTGGACTGAATGTGTGGCTACTCTAATATACTGTAGTCTCTTTAACACTGTTAACTACAGCATTAAAAATTGTCTTTGAGCGGTAGATGAATATATCTATATAAGTCTGACACTCCAAGTCTCACACTGGTACTGTTGGGTAGTTTGTACAGGCTCTGTCAGCACAGGCAGCCTGATTCAGGCCGTCCAGTCCAGGAGAAGAATAATGGAACCCTTTCACAGGTGGAGGAATCTGGGCATGTTGTTAAGAGGCTTTGAGATGAGGAAGAGATCTCAAGGGTCTGAAACATTCCTTCACCTGAATGCAGAAAAAAATGAAGGTGATGCAAAGGGAGGGAGCGAGCGAGAGAGCAGGCAGGGACAGAGCAGTTATCTGGGTCAACCTGGCAGCATTCACATATGGCTTTACTTACAGGTGGGGGGAAAGTGTGGTATTCAGATGGAGCTGTGTAGTTCATCCAGCAGTTGCAGGAAGTTTTGCTGATGGGAAAAGTGCTGTATGCGTCCTCTGCCACTTAGCTTCTTAATATTTCCACTGGTAGGCCACCCTGTCTGCAGAGGAGCTACCATCCTGTTCTCAAACAATTTTATTTCGAGTTTCAGCTCAGATCTGTCAAATAAAACAAATGCTGCTACAGAGATTTCTTGCAACACAACCCCTTGAAAAATTGGACGATAAATCATTGGAAGGGCCAATTCCAGCTCTATTATTTGAATGTCAGCGTCATGGAGTTATAGTTTTGCTGTTTAAAAGCAAATAGAAGGAGTGCAGTCTACAGTAAATAAAGGGCTAGCACCTCTGCGACAAAATCACTTTGACAGAGCCTTCAGCAAGAACACCACAAGTCGTACTGGGGCAGTGAGAGCACATTGTGAGGAATACGGCTTTTCCATCCTTGCTGGGCACAGGCAATGGGCATGCCACAGCTGTATTGGTCTCAGCTGGATAGGTCCAATGCAATTGTAAGCTACTGGAAAAATGCAGCCGCCTGACACGAGCTTTATATTCTTTATATTCTGCTCCTCACACATTCATGTTTGTGCAGCATGCACAGGACGTTTCAGTGCTGATGGCTCTGTGCTACAAAATTCCAGATTATTCCTCTCACGTAAACTGATGACTCAGAGGTCACTATTCTGATCTCATGCAACCGACCCGAGCTGTGTGCCCACATCAGATTGTTTTTCAGCTTTCCCTTGTAGAGTTTGTTTTCCACATGCCAGGAGAAAGACCCCGCAGGAGCACTGAGCACTCCAGTCTGTTTATTGCAGATGCTATCTTTGATTTTTATGTTCCCTCTCCATTATAATCATTGGTCTCTCACTCTCCCTCTAACTTCTGTTTCTTTTTATCTGTTTTTGTGTTTGGTTTTGTTTTTTAACCACAGGCCTGGCGAGTGTGGTCCAAACTCTGGTGTGGTCACAAATGGATCCTACTTCTTACCCCTCTTTTCCTTCTCTTCCTCATGATCTTTGTGATGACAGTCACCCTGCCACTCCCTTCACCACCCGCTCACATCGCCTGGAGGTCGTCCCGGGCCCTGAGTTCTACGGGGGAGTTCAGGTCCAGGAACAGGATTGTGGAGACCCTTCCAGCTGCTGGCTTCCAGCAGCCACTCACTCACATGTACAGCAGGAGCTTGAGAAGCAGCAGTAGAAGAGAGACATCTAAACATTCTGTGCCACTTAAACCTTTCGGGGACGCTGCTGGCAATGACAAAAACAGCATCAAAGAGAGACGTCGCGCTGACATACAAAGAAATAAACACAAAAGCAAAGGCATTGCCTCCAAGAGAAAAGAGCTGGCAGGCGCCAGCCAGCCAGCCAGTCATCACCGTCCCCATCCAGAGTTTATAGACAACAACATGCTGCCAAAGCACAGAATTAAACCAAGCAACCACAGTGCTGTGGCAACGCAAGCTACACAAACATACATTTATCTTGAAAAGAGTGCTTCAGCAGATCCCATAGAAAGTGAGACAGGAGCTGCAGATAGACAGGCAGCCAAATTTTGGTTTAGACACACAAACAGGAATGCAGACAAACGGATACATGGCAGCCATACAAGTGCAAAGATAGCACAACAACACCTGGGTTTAAAAAAACACAACCAACCAACAAAACACAATCTGAAATCAGGCAATGTGCAGGCTGTTGGATATTTCATAAAACACCGTAATCTCTCTGAGGATCCCTCAGATGCGAAAAAGATCCCGGGATCACTGGCCAACAGAAAGGCTTTGTCCAAACCAGAGGTCGCTGTGATGGAAGATGACATCGACTGGTGTCAAAGCTTTACAGAGCAGGACTTCCCAGACAGCGACCGCAGAAGGATCAGGGCCGACTTGCACCGCCTTCCCTGGTTCAGCAGGGAAGACATCCAGAAGATTGAGTTCCTCGCTAAGGGCGAGGTGGTTAGCAAGACCAGGATGCCGGGACACGGACAGGTGCTCCAAGTGGCACTGGATGCTCCAGCAGACCAGCAGGTGTGTTGTATTGCTGACTGTAATTTTAAGTTGAAAACACTTCTCAATGTTAAAAAGCTGTTTCCTACTTTTTCAATCACATAATGCAGACGCCTCACAGACTGACACAGATGAGGTGAAAGCAGGTGAAAGAGCGCTGCCCTGATATGACCATAACAAGCCAAAGGTGTAATTTGGCAATGTAAGCTGAATACTGCTTGAGATTGTCAGCCCATATTGTGTTGGCCTTGAATATTGTGCCATCCTTGTCACACTTCCTGAGACACACAGGGTCAGTGGTGACGACATGCCTGGGTGACAGGATGAGATGCTGAATTCTGCAAAAACCAACAGTGAATGCATCTTAGCGCTGTGCATGTGTAATCGAAGCCGGATACTGTGTGAGGCATGTTATTCTGCACCAAAGAGCAGCTATTCTTCTCTAGAACTATTTAAAACAGCACTCCTGCTGCTGCACTTCATTCTCTGAACACACACACTGTGGTATATTTTGACTCAGTCTCACAGTCGCAGTCATCTCACTGGAAAAACTCATTATTGCACCAAATGTGGATGAATTGGTTGGACTTTATAATCCTATTACTGCATAAAATGTTTGTAATATAGTTACGCACTATGAAGCATTAGTAATCAGTTAGTAAATACTTATTTGAAGACCTTTCTACTTTCTAAACATGGTTTATTTTGAATTAATAAGCTCATATATAATGGAAATAATGCCAGCACTGTTATACTTATAAATGATGGATTAACTGTCAAATATTACAGTAAGTACTACAAGTTATTTATTTATTTATTTAATGGTTTGTGCTGTCATTTAGAAAGTCCATGTAAGTGATACAAAAAGTATTTTGCTCATTCATGCAAAAAAATATGATAAAGACATGAATTCATTGTTTGTGTGGTGAAAGCGGTTTTATAAATACTTGTTTCATATTTTAATTCAGTTGATTACTAGTTGTTAGTTTAGTATTTTGTGTGACTGCCTCAGCCTTACAAAGCAGAAAGTATAAATAAAACTGAAAGGTCAGCAGGACGCTGCCTTCACAACAGAAAAGAAACAGAAGCATAACGTGACAGAGAACACATGCAAACAGAATACTGAAATATGTGCCAGACCACAGTCTGAGTTTGTAGAGGATTTAAGACATGCTGAGCAATCAAACATAATAACATTATCACAAAACAATAGAGAATATTTCACAAAGCTTCACAAACAAGTGTAGATACCATAAATTGTCCACCATATTAAACAGTTATATTCAAGTCTAGCGTGTTAATAAAGCCTTCACAAATTTATGTTGAGTATTACTCAAAGCTGCCCATCTTCACTCGGGGGAAACTACCTGTCTCAGGGTTGCTTGTTTTATACCCAGTCGTGTTATTGACTTGTCAGTTTTGTCAGTTTAATTCCAGAATGAAAGTGTTGGAATAACATATTGTTGTTTCAGTCTTTTCATGGGATTTGTGGCCAAAACCAAAAATCTAGAGTAACAGCAGTTTCATCCATTAAGCTGGATTGTCATGCAGTGACAGTATGACACAACTAAGAGCTGATGGTTGTGCTTACAAGTCAAGCAGGTTTTTGAGTCTGATAATGGATTCCTGCTGTTTATGGAAAAGGAGAGAAAAATATATTACATTTGAAAGAATTCAACAATATTATTATGTATATTCTAGCTCCACCTTTGGCACATTTATATATGAAAGATGTTAAAAGGTCCCATCCTTTAATTACTGGATAAAAAGTCATAATCTGCTAGTTGAATAAATATTCAGTTTGTCGTAAATGAAGTCCTTACAATTAAATATACATGGCTATAGGATCATAATGGGTGCATGGTCTTAGAGTAAAGTGAACAGCATTATCTAACTGTATTCATCCATCACAGAAGCCATCCGTGATGAAAAACTCACATCAGCACGGAGAAGGACGTGGACGTTCAACTACCCACAGTGAGCGCTGTCAGCAGGGCTGCTGCGCCCTGGTCAAGCGCACTGATGACTGGATTGAAGTGTTCGCCTTCCACCTGGACAGAGTGCTGGGACTCAACAGAAGTCTCCCCGCAGTTCTGAGGACCTTTCATAGCCACGTGCTGCCCAACAGGTACATTAATGGCACCCCCAGACCTGCTGTGTGGTGGGACCCAGATATTCACCACCTTTCCGATGAAGACAATGACCAGAACTCAATACAGCTCAGCTGGGTTCACTACCAGAAACTGCTAAAAGCTCGCTGTGGGAGTGAAACAGACCTGAGGTCAGCCCCCTGCGTGGGAGTGCAGCACTCAGAGTGGGGAAGCCTAGCTCTTTTTGACTTCCTGCTGCAGGTAAGAGAAGTGATTTTGTCCATTTTCCTGTGGCTTCCTACTGTAGTAATATTAAACTGTCTATATACATCTCCAAAAATTGGTTCTGTTCATCTGGACGTAGCGTTTTGTGGGAGAAACGTTTCGTCACTCATCCAAGTGACTTCTTCAGTCTCAGCTGACTGCAGGGAGGAACGCTGGTTTGAGCGCGGAGTATAGGAGGCCCTTTACGTGAAAAGGGAAAGACCATCTCTGAATCGAGGAGGGGGCCTAAGGGTACATCTTTCGCCATCTTACAATGCTGTGATTGCAGCCATTCCCCAACTCTCTGTGAATGGTACCAATGGCCATTGATCAGTGGGTTTTGATCAGTGGGTTTTGATCAGTGGTTGTTGATCAATGGTTATGAGAATTTGTATAATTAAGATTAAGGAACTGACCTCCCAGCCCATTGTTCCTTCAGTGGGCTGGTTTCAGTCATAATGTAAATGCACTGTTTATAAGATTGGGGAAACCTGCAGTCAGCTGAGACTGAAGAAGTCACTTGGATGAGTGACGAAACGTTTCTCCCACAAAACGCTACGTCCAGATGAACAGAATCAACTTTTGGAGATTTACTTTCCTGGATGATTGAGAATGCATCAAGATGTGTATATACAGTTCAGCAGGACAATTTCTTTAGATCGAAAAAGCTGACATGCACTATTAAAGTTATCCAGAAGACACAGGACAATGAATGGAGTTTGCTACTACTACTGATAATAACAATAATAATAATAGTAATAATGATGACATGATGACAATGAGTGAAAGGCACGTTTTTTTAAACGCATCAACCTACCCACAAACCCAGAAAAAAACAGCTAGGTCATGTGACCCTCACCTTGTGGGTTGTAGTCTAGTAACTTCCCAAGCTAGTTAACATTGATACAACCTAAATTTCATTACGTGCTAGCTAGCTAAATTGCTAACTAGACAATAAGTTAATAGAGTTCATCACAGACACTCAGATCTTGACTTTTCTGTTTATCAGTTTGTTAAAAGTTTTATTTTTTTAAACAAGCAAAACACTCCAGTGTCTATGTCTGCTTTGGATTCTCCGCTCTCTTGAAGGTTACCAGTGTCAGGCTGCTGTTGGTCAGCTGCTTTATTTAGGCATGCATTTCAGACCTAAATACAGTTGAATCCAAGTTTTAAATTACTTGCATGCACAAGTCAAATGTTATTTTATGAGATCAGTCATGAGCTATTTTACATTATATAGAGGAGGCTGAGTGATGCCTTTCAGCTTTAAAACTTGGAACATCTTGTATCTTGTATGTAGACAAACATGGGCTTTTTGATCGGCCTTAATATCGAAACATTAAATCTGGCTAATAGTCATACATGAATCTAGCATGAAATGTCTTATTCCTTGTACAACATTGAAAAGCCAACATTTGTTTCAACCAGGTTCCAACACTGAGGGTCAGTCATGTGCAGCCTGGGTTTCCTCCCCTTTTTAAAGCTCTCCCAGTCATGGTTCTGACATTGATTTCTGCTTTGCTGGATAAAAGCAATAAAAAGACCTGTTGTTGTTATTACTCTGACATTTGCTTCACAAGTTACACAAAGCACATAGTTGTATAAGCATGTGCTTTCATTGGCTCGTGGATTGGGAAAAAAAGACACTTATGGAGTGAGATTGATGAATGTCTGCTCTCAGACACAAAAACCCACACTGGCCAAACTGTTACATTTAGGAGGTAATTAAAGATGCAGCGTTATGTGTAAGAAGCCATCTGGTCACACCTTGTAACTAACGCAAAGCTGTTTGTAGTAATGATCCCAGCAAGAAGAAAGTCGCCTAAACATTTTTCCTAAGAGGATTACAAGCCACAGATCACTTGTAAAGTATAAAGCTGAAGTGGTGATGTACTAGAATAATATAATGTCATGTTATGGGTAACTTTAATCTGAAACACCTGGTTCATGCTGAGTTGGATTTAATGAGCTTTTATAATAAATGTTTCATGTACATAGTGTACAAAACTAATCTCTGCACACTTTATGCCTGTGGGAAAAAAAGGTTTCCACTGGACAGAAAATTATACCGTGTGAAGACTATTATATATTCAACAAGTATAATTTGTAGCATTTTTTTGTATTAAAAGCTTATTATTGCCAATATGAACTCTTACCCGACTTATACATGACATAGCAGATACAACAGAGGAGCATAGCAGTACAGGGCAGTCTGCTGTATGTCTGATTGCACTTAAGTTGATGGCTGTGCCATTTCTAATGTTTTTCTTAACCAGACAATCTTCAAGGAGATAAATAATCTGGAAAAACTTATCATTGTGACTGCACTGAATTTGAATTGTATTCTTTCTAACTTCATTCATTTAGTCAAAGTGACACCCAAGCATATTATGGGCTATTATAAAGTCCACTGATGTGGTCATTTCGTGTTTATTGTATTTCTGGCTGTTTATCAAATTCCCAGTTTTATGCAGTTTTCCTGGTAATCACATTCATCCTGCATAGAGATTTTCTCATCAGTACAATCGCAGCCCAGGAGTCCAGTGGAGGAGGTGTGATGAGGGGCTGTCAACGTTAGCTATAATACACTCAACAAAAATATAAACGCAACACCTTTGTTACTGCTCCCATTCCCCAT